CACTCACATGGGTTAATTTCACAGTGACAGAGAAGCCATTAGGTAAACCGGTGTCTGCATTTTTTTTTGTTGTTGTTGTTCTAGAAACCCTGAAAGAAATTCAGAGCTATTAAAGGCAAAGCATGTGTTCTAACTTTAAATTATAACCGGATGAAGAATACTTATAAAAATGTTTCTTTTATTAGAGGGAAGACATTTGAGAAGCTCTGAAAGCTCAGATACTAATATATACCTTTCCTCTTTTCCTTTTAAGTGAAATTTTAATTAAATTTTAGCTGATATGAGTGACAAAAGGAAAATTCAGACTGTGACCAGAAGAACTAAAGGAAAGTGCCTCCGTACTTTTGTTTCTACTATTAAACAGGAGGGATTTGAGATTTCTGATTTATTTCTCTCATTCTCTTTTATTGTTCATGAACTTAAGGCTGCATTCCATTGACTCCAAAGTAATTTCTGAAAAATGATCTGCTGACATTACAGGGTATCTGGATCATTAACCATGTCAGCGCTGACCGAGGAAATAATGTTCTGGCAGAAAATAGTTATTTGTTTAAAACAAAGGCTGAGAATGTTGCCATTTCACACATCCTTATGCCTACATGGCATATAGGGTATTTATTTTTGTGGAAAGTTCTTAGGAAACCCAGAAGTTAAAGAGAAGGCTGTTGATTAGAAAGCAGTATTAGGAATAGTATGCATATTCTCCATTCAGTCCTATTCCTCCTAGAAAATAAGATTGCCAACTTGCTGCCCCCTAATTTTTAGGGGTACAAATTCCTTTGTTCCATTAGGGAATGTGCTAGTCATGGCGCGGGGAGGGAGGGTATGACAGTGTGCAAAGATGAAGGGTAAGGGAAAGAAGCGGACTTAAAAATAGATCCCATGGAGGAAAGTTGAAGGAATAAAGAATCTTCTGCTTGAAAAAAGAAAAGATGGGGGCGCCTGGGTGGCTCAGTCAGTTAAGTGTCCAGCTCTCGGTTTTGGCTCAGGTCATGAACTCATGGTTTGTGAGTTTGAGCCCTGCATTGGGCTCTGTGCTAGCGTGGAGCCTGCTTAGGATTCTCTCTCTCTCCCTTTCTCTCTGCCCCTCCCCTGCTCGTGCTGTCTCTGTCTCTCTCAAAAATAAATAAACTTGAAAAAGGAGAAAAAGAAAACAGAAAAGATGGTTTCTCGCAATTTTTGTTTTCTTTTCTTTTTAATGTTTTTTTTTTTTTTGAGACACACACACACACAGCCATGCACACACACACACACACACAGCAGAGCAGTGGAGGGGCAGAGAGAGAGGGAGACACAGACTCTGAAGCAGGCTCCAGGCTCTGAGCTGTCAGCACAGAGCCCGATGTGGGGCTTGAACTCATCAACTGTGAGATTATGATCTGAGCCAAAGTCGGCTGCTCAACCGACTGAGTCACCCAGGTGCCCCACAATTTTCCTTTTATAACAGAGGTTGGTAAATATCTTTTGTGTGTGTGTGGACAATGGGGCACTACTGTATTACACAGTAATATTATGTAGATTTTACGATGGCATATATATAATAAGAGAAAAATTTATACAATGATGAAATTAAAAATACAATAATGGAGTGCGATTTTTTTTTTAATGCTTGTCTGCCAACGAGAAGACTGGAATTTTTGTGGGGAGGGATAACATTTTGCTTAACAGGGATTATAAGTAGCATTCCCTATTCTAAAATTATTAAAAATATTCATCTGTAAAAACTCCTATTTCACAGTCTAGACAAAAGTTAGGGCTGCATTTAGTGCACAGGCTACAGTTTTCAGCCCTTTATAATGGAGGCTTTTTAGAATCCTGGGAACCAGTTATTCTCAGCATCCATCAGGAATTGTATTAAAGGGAATGAACATGAATGGCAGTGATAGGAATCAGTGTTCTATATGGGAAACCATAAAGAGAGTAGGCAAGGGCTGTGGGGGACAGAAATACAGGGAATTAACTAACCCTTCTGATATCTGAGATCAGACAGAAAACAAATCTCTTAAAAGTCTATATCCAGACAATATTTTTTTGTAGGCGATGACTTCACAAGGGTCAGTTTTTATGCTTTTCACCTCTATCACGTAGTTTGTAAGTTTAGTTTCGTTAATATACAAAATCAATTTTACCTGTAAATAAGGTCTGGACTGAAAAATAACCTGTTCTCCACCAAAGTCCATTGATTTCTACGAGGTAAATGCTATGTAAGAATTTCCAATAAAGCGATGTACTTACAAACACACTACCTGGACTTTTTGTTCTTATTGATTTCATTGTAGAGTAAAACTCCACTACAAAGTACAATTATTTATGGTGGATTATGTTTTATTGCAGACGAAAATGACCTTCCTCTAAGGGGGGTAGGTTCAACGTTGACTGATATTATGTCACATAAACATCAGGTCCTGGTTATCTTAAAAAGAAGGCTCTACCTTTAAGATAAAACAGACTCAGCTGTGTTAGCATTTTGCAAGCCCCTCAAGATCACAACTGTTATTTTTACTGTCAGGAAGGAAAACTCAGCAAACACATATTGTACATGCATACAATGCTTCTGCTCAAGGTGGAAATGATTTTATAAAGCAGCTTCGTTTAGCATCCAAAACCTGCTCATTTCTCTTCCTTAAGCCTTAGTTTTGTATAGTTTGCATAGAACGTAATTTTTTTCTCATCTAAAATAGATGAAGTTTGTCAGGCATAACACTTCCCCGTGTAATGTCCACTAACTCTTTAAGAACTAGGCTAGATGTCTCCCTCTGCAGGGAACTCCTTTTACTGGCCCTCACACCCAGGTAGGGCACTGCTTCCCTGGTGCTCCCACAACACTGCACACATATCCCTACCATTACACTTCCACACTGAGTTAGGAGTCTGTTTAAAATTCCATGCCTTGGGGCAACTTTAAGGCAGAGAGCGTGTCTTACATTGCTTCATCCCGGGCACCTAAGCATGGTGCTGAACACACAGGAGGAGCTCGTTATAAGCTTTCTAAATTAAAAGGTAAATGAATGGGTGCACTGAGAGTCAACTGGGCAGGTATGAAAGTTCTATTTCCACCCAGGGATGGACTAGCACTGTTTTCCCCGAGATGAATGTGACAATGACATGATGCTGGATGCAGGATAAGGAGGAAGACCAGAAAAGAATAGGTAGAGGAAAAGGAGATGCCCCAGGAATGAGAAAGGGCCATGACCTGAGAGCAGCAGGAAAGCAATGTCACCCCAGGGTGGCAGGAGCCAGTTAGGGCCTTTGTGATGTTGGCTGCAGGGGTGGTTGTCAAATCACGATTCTTTTTTTCTTCTCTCTCTCCCTCCCTCCCATCCCCCTCTCCCTCCCTCTTTCCCTCCCCCATCTTCCTTCTTTCCTTCCTTCCTTCCTTCCTTCCTTCCTTCCTTCCTTCCTTCCTTCCTTCTCTTTATTATTTACTTTTTAGTTCACCCCTATGATTTTGTAATACCTTTTTGCAATTTCCCGTCTCTGCTGAAAGACCTGATGAAACTCTGCTTGGCAAAGCTCTGAGGACAGAATTCTTGTCCCTGCTCCTTCTCCTCACCCTTCTATTTTAAGGACCATTGAGTGGTAATGAGGAAATCACATGGGAGGATTCTATCACTTTTTCATTGCCAAAAACATGGAGATTTTTCCTTGTGTTTTAATATGGGTGGTGGGGTTGGGGAGGTGGGGGGGGGGGAGAAAAGCTTTTCTTTAATGTGAGCCTCTTCCTTGTCCTCAAAAGACCTTTTATAGACTCATCAGTGCCCAGGGCTGCAAGGACATCCACGAATTCCTTCCTCCATCTGTAGTGTGCAGTGTTCTTCTCATTGTCTCCCCACTTTCTTTTTTTTTTTTTTATCGGTTTAGCTTCCTGAAAGGAGTCAAACATGTCTTCGATATTTTGCTGATCTGTTTTTACTCCTTTGTCATCCTGCCCCAAACCTCAGCCCCGTGTCCAGCCACTGAGGCTGAGGAATAAGCTGTAGACGAGCAACTCGAAGACCAAATACACATTGCCCACGCCATTAGTAACGATTTGCTGTAAGCCAGGAAGCCTGGGGCTGGGGCTGGCCTGCCCAGGGCCCCCAAGAAACACCTGCTGGAGACTCGGGGAGGGTAGAGGTGTGGAAACGGCTGGTTTCTACGTCCAGTGTTCGTAATCCCTAGGCCACTTATTCAAAACTGTGTATGTACTCAGGGGAACATTATGGTATTCATTTTTCTAATCCATTCAATACTAATTAGAAAATAAGAACAGTTATTAATTTTTACAGCAGAGAGTTTACAAAAAGAAAAGAGTAAGCTCATGTACAGGAAATATGAGGCGATTTTTCTCTCCAACAGAAAATGGATGGGGTGTGATATGATGGAAGCGACGGTGCAGCAGAAGATGTAAAGGGCTCGCTGTGATTAGTGATCTAGCTGGCCGCTGACATTTTAAAATTTGGGAAAAAGATGAAGCAAGTCCCTTTGTTTCTTAAAATATTACTGCCTCTTCTCTTCCTGTTGTCTGACGTAGGCAAATGTAGTCAATACTCTGAAACAAAGTGCTAATCTTGTAGCTTCAGAAAGAAAATCCTATGTTTTCCAGGAGCTTGTAAACATTCTCCTATACTTGCAAAGGACACACAAATACAAAGAGGACTTCATATTCGATATTTTATAAAGTTCTTGGAAGCCATTTTGATGGCACAGCATCGACACTACCAAGGCTACAGAAGAGAAGAAAAATATCCACCCAGATTTAAACCATTCCAAGGACAGGAAGTTGGACACATCTAGAGCCTTATCCATTTCAATACTTCAGCCGTTGAGAGCAGCAATTCAGCCTTCAGAATTACTTACGAATAGTCTCTCTACCTTTTGCGTATCATAGTCCTCTTTTTATTGTTGTGTAAACATATTTTTTTACCAACACTTAGGAGAAAAACAGTTTTAATAAACTATAACAAATGTAAACGATAGGATTCATGAGGGTAATTAGTCCAAACAACTGGCATACTTACAGTTGCATTTCTTCTGCACAAACCTAAGCTTGCATGCTGTTCTGTAGGTGGAGAGTCGGATACGATCCAGATCTTGAGCCCCTGGTGGGGGGGAGAAACGTCCACATATGGTATGCCATGTGTGTGGAAAGGGATTTATAATATTTACAGAGAAAGCAACTACAGATATAACCCATTCACTTAATTTGATTTTTACCTTTATTAGAACACAAACACAACTTTAAGACTTGAAAAGGTCTGGCCTCACACCCCTCGAACACTAGGGGAAAAGAACACAAGTATCCAACACGGGAGATGAGGTTGTCAACCATGTTTGTGGGCCAAGGAACACAGCCTCAGCCCTGCGGTGTCTGCTGCTTCTGAGAACAATCTAGTCAAGCTGTGACTTAACCAGCAAGATGACAGCACTATCATCCAATAACCATTGTAGATGCGTGGTGATTGGTCATCAGAATACGGCTGTGAGGTGAGTACTCGCTGAAAGCTGGGCCTCTTTGCTGTGTGACTAATTGCTTTTAGAAACCTCAGTTTTCTCATCTGGAAGATGGGGGTGATGATACTACTACTAATTATTTTACAAAATTATAAGGATACATGAGTGACTATACTTAAGCACAGAGGGCACTGCCTGGCACGTAGTTCGAGCTGTGTAAGTATTCATTAGTATTACTAGGGTCTATCCTGCAAACCTGCCTGTCAACCTCACAGGAGACTTTCTAAAAACAACCACTACTCTTTTTTATACCGGAGCTTCCGTTTCCTCTCTAACATAGAGGTACGTGTTCCCCATATTCTTCAACTACTTTCCTCATTCTACTCTTCCTCTCAAGAATCCAGCATGGTTTCTGATGCTCACAGCACCAGGTCTGAATGTTCTGCTCAGAATCCAAGCTCTTCCCATGCCACCTACCCAACGGTATTTCCCACCACCCTCTACCCAGGACCTCTGCCCGGCTTGGGCGAGTCTCCACACAATGCCCTGCAGATGGGCTCTTTGTCCCATTCACACCAGAGATCCTGGTGGTCCTCCCACCATTCTCTGAATGGGCTCATCTCTAGACTGTGTCTAAGACAAAGCAGACTTTCAACAAATGTCTGTTCTTTTCTGCTTCTCAATATTTGGCATTCGTTAAGCCCTGTTTATGGTTCATAACAGATATAAAGGCAGAGAGCTATTTTTGACATATATTGAACTTCACCAGTAAAAGTGCTACATGAATGCTTCAAAATATAATAGGGCAGCAAGTAAATGAGCTGGCCTAGAAGTAATTATATTGGGAGGCCAATTAAGTGCTTTTCTAATCAAACTCGGGATGAATTAGCACGTGTCCTGCACTGAGAGCATCAACATTCCCTTGATTCAAACTGATCTCTTTAGATTCATTCACAAATGATACCAATACTCCTATTGCTTTATAGTTTTATAAGGCAGATCATTAAACATTCATTCTTATGAGAGTTGATTACTTGACAAACAGGCTCATTGATACTGAGTTCCTGAAGAACCAAAGAGAGAGGGCTTAACCCTCACCCAGTGCAGGAATTCTCCTAAACGGAGAATGTTCTCAAGAGCGGGACAGGTAGACAATGGCCATAGAAGATTATTTCCAATGACAGGAATGATTATCACTTGTGAAAATAAATGAGCTTTAGAGTCAGTAAACCTTAATCTGTCATTTCCCAGTTATGTGAACTTTGACAAGTTTTTACTTGGTCTCTGATTTCTTCATGTATATGGAGATAACAGCATCAGCTTTACCAGCTGGTAACCTCTGAAGCTTGTATATAGTGAGCACCTACTAGCAGGTGGGACTCCTAAAAAGGTTTCCTGTACATTTCCTTAGCAACAATAAGTGATAGAAATTTCTTTTTTATATTTGAGCTTTAATTTGCCTCCTGATAAGTTCAATCCACTTGATGTGATTTCCCTTCTGGAGACACAGAAGCTTTGCTTCTAGCCACTTGATAATTTGCACATTGGGAAGCACCTTGATTAGCATCTTCATTACCATCTGAAGGCTATGGAGAAAAGCCCCTGCCGTTGAGGAGTTTAAAGTTTGGCGGGGGACATAACCTCTTGACCTTTTGACATTGGAGCCGTTCAACTCCATAACCATTGCAAGCACAATGTCTATCACAGAGTGAGGCCTACAATAGGGCTTCAATACGTGGATGTTGCTATCATTATTCTCTATTACCATCAGACAGTTTTGAGACCTTCATCCATTCTGGTCCTTCTGCTCTATGGCTGGCTCATATCTCATTGAAGTGAGATATACAAAATTAACCCAAGTTTGCCTCCTCTGTATAGAATATATAGAAAGCGATCATGACCAGTTTTGATAGGGACAATTATGAGTGCAATTAATTTTTTTTTTTATTTTACAGAGAGAGAGAGACAAAATGGGAGAGAGGGGCAGAAGGAGAGAGAGAGAGAGACAGACAGAGAGAGAGAGAATTTTAAGCAGGCTCCATGCTCAACACGGAGGCTGATGTTGGGCTCGATCCCAAGACCTCAGGTTCATGACCTGAGCCAAAATCAAGAGCTGGGACGCTCAACTGACTGAGCCACCCAGGCACCCAACGAATACAATTTTAAAAAATAAATGGCTCGTTCCTCTAGTTCTTTTCATTAAAAAGCTGAAAAAAATCATATGTATTTACATATGATCACATCTTTTCTATTTTCTACTTAAATGCTTATTTGGAGGCTGAAGATAGGACTTCATATTTATCTGGTTAGTTTCTTTTAATTTTTATCTCATGCTTGTAATTGTTCTGATAGTTTTAAAATTTTTGATTTTGCCACTGGGATTTCCAAGGGCCTTCCCAGTTTTGTGTCCTCTGTAAATCTGAGAGGCTCATTTAGAAACTTAATTCTCTAGGGTTCTGGATAACCAGAGACAGAGAGACTATCAGAAATACCTGAACACTAAATCTGCCTTTTTCCCTGATGAGGATGTACTTTTACTGATGCTGAGCTTGGCTCAACAGTCAAGAGAGTCTCAGTATCTGAAAATAATCCTTTAAAAGAAGACATTAGGGACATAGATTAGTTGCGTGAGTTCTTTAAGAATAATGATAATCCGCAGGTATAAAAGCGCTGTGATGCAGCAGACAATTAAATGTCTTAGTTCCAGCAAAACTTTATCCTCTGAGGACAGAAATAGTAGCTCCTCTGCACCTCCCTCTCATAGAGGCTCTAGGGGCAATTTGGCAAAGGTGCACCTCTCCTACATGTAGTAATGATGATGCTTAGGGACGGGAGTGCACTGACTGTTCTCCCCTGCCCTATCATGATGTGGACTTAACTGACCCTCTTTTTGTTCAAGAATCAGGAAGGGGTCTGAGGGTCTCTAGATGTTTCCTATTTGTAGAAGTTCTTCCTGGCTGAAGTTCAAAGGGGATGCACCTTGCACAGACCATGTAAGTGGCAACCACAGGATCCATCTGGATTCTGGGACCCGAAAACGCTGAGCTGAGACATGCTGCACAGGCTCTTGCTCTGCTTATCCCCCTTGTTTAAAATATTTATTTGTCCCACCCCCAATAAACCAGAAACTTAATTCAGTTTTACATGGGTAGTCTCTTCTTGAAAGTCTATAAGTTTGTAGTTTGCCTTGGGAGTAGTTGCAGGTCTTCTGTGTCCAAGTTATTGGTTAAAACCAAGCACCTGAACAGGGCCACACATAGACTCTTCTAGTATGCTACTAGAGGCTGCCTTCCAAGTTGATTGACCCATTGCTTATTCCTGCAGATATGGTCACACCACCACCTATAAATCAACTTAATTGTATGGCAAACTGACTCACATCTCCAACACATGCACAACATAAGAGCCTTTGTCAGTATCTTGTTGAATTAAGGTTCATTTTTATGCTATCGTATTTTCCTGAGCTAGCAGTCTAGGAGCCTTATTAAAAAGGGAAATTAGCTGACTTAATTCCTTTATAAAAAAGATAGAATTTGAATAAATGCATAAAGAAGTCAATAGAGCAATCCTTGTTCTTAGCATGTTGAAATGTCTAGGATTAGCACTATATTTTTTCCATGACCTGAAAATGAATCCATCTTATCATAAAACCTACAAGTTCATACCCTGGACTCTCAAGAAGCCATATTCTTCCTTCTTAATAAAAAATGAGTATAGCATTTCCCTATTTTTAATTTTTTTGCAATGGTCTCATTATTTCTGAAAAAAATGGATGATATTTTTCCCTGTATTATTGTATCACTGGGATATAATTCTTTAAAACATGCAGATTCAACTCATTTAAATAACACCTTAGATTTGCTTCATAATTATACAGAAGGGACTGGGGCTAAATAATTAAGGGCAGAGATGAATATTACTGTCTCCACTTCTTTATATATTTGAAACTTTTCATAATGAACATTTAAAGCTAATCCACTTAAGGCAATTTGATGCTCTTGTATCTTGTCTTCCAATCTCTCACATCCACGTCATACTTGGAAGAAAGTGATAAAGACAAAAACAAAGACGCAGTTAAGAAATTCTGATTGATCACACTGTTATCTCCTACAAATCCTGTTTTTCCTTTTTTTTGTTCTTCCTTTCAAGATTTTTCTCTGCTCTTCCTCTCTGTCCTTCCTTTCCTCCTTCTCTCCCTCTCTTCCTTCCTCCTACCTCTTACATTCTTTCCCTCCATTCGTCCATCTATCTATTTATCCAACCAACCAACCAACCAACCAACCAACCAACCAACCAACCTATCTTACCTACTTCTTGGCTTTAGTTTTATTACATTCTAATAATTTTAAAAATTTTTGTAATTATTTGTTTTGAGAGACAGACACAGTGTGAGTGGGGGAAGGGCAGAGAGTGAGGGAGACAGAATCCGAAGCAGACTCTAGGCTCTGAGCTGTCGGCAAGAGCCCGACGTGGGGCTTGAACCCATGAACCATGAGATCATGACCTGAGCTGAAGTCCGACACTTAATCGACTGAGCCACCCAGGTGCCCCTAGTTTTATTACATTCTAAATAGTTTCACACAATTAAAGTATATTTTGCCTTTCATGTTTTGATAGCTCATTATAAAGCCTTTTATAAAGTCATTAAGATAATTAAATATCTCATTCATTTTTCAAATTTGCTCAACAAATATTTACAGAATAAAGATGAAGCCTATGAAGATTCCATGTCTGAACTCTTCCATGCTTGCTGATTGTGTGTGTGTGTGTGTGTGTGTGTGTGTGTGTGTGTGTGTGTATGTGAAGTAGAGAGAGAGTGAGAGAGAGGTAAAGGAGCTAGGGGGTCAGGATAATGGTCAAATTTCTCTCTTAGGACACTTAGTGGGGTGGGGAGGCCCTCTCTGAGCCAAGGTACAAACAGGAGGCATAGGTTTGCAGGTGCGTGAATGCAGAGTTCAGTTTTGGGCTTACATGGATTGAGATGCTTGTGGATGTCCAAGTGGAGGTATCAGCAGCAGTTGGAGATACAGATATGGAACTCCTGACTATGGCATACATTCTCAGAATTACCAACAAACATAAAATGTAGCAATTTGTCTTAACTGGGCCAAGACTGGGAATATTCTTCCAAGAGAAGTCTCTGCATACAGCCATGGGCACTGTTAGTGGAATAAATGGTGAGCCCACCTCAAGTTGTTTCATTAGTAGAAGCCTTGACAGTGAGGAAGCAAGGCTGGAGGGACACTGACTTTATATGCTGACTATTCTGGATAAGATGGTTCAGGAGAACATGGATGTGGTTTTGAAGGACTTCTTGAAACTTGGGAGCCATGACAATAAAGGTGAAGCCTTGAGAGAAAGTAAAATTGTATATGGAGGGAATTGTTCAAGAACAAAGCTTTGGTATGATCTAGCTTCAGGGTGTCTGGGATCTGCTAAGAGACAGAAAAAGAGAACGGCAGTGGTCAAAAACAGCAGGAGACCAGACTTGGGTGGTGACATCAGAGAGTATTGCCAGGATGGTGACCTATGGCATTAACATCTTAAAGAGGCTGAAGAGCAAGAGAAATGAAGAAGCAAGTGGAAATAGTCCCTGTACCCACCATGGCCTATAGTGGTGTGTATGGTGGGCTCATAGCAGTGGGCTCATTCGTGTCGTTGTTTTCAATTTTTGAAATCAATTTTCCTAAAAGTCACAGTGTGCATTGCAAAATCATGCTGTAGGTTCCATTCCCATTAGCCACGTGCTGACTTGTAGTCCACTTCCTGAAGAACTATCTGCCTTTGAAGGATTCGGGTGTTTTCCAAGTACCTACACTTGCCTCCCTTTGATTTTCCATCCCTCCTCTGTGCAGAGGCCAGTGGTATCATTGTGATTTCTCCTCAGGCCTTTCCTTATCCTGTTAGATAGCCTTCCTTATTCTGAAGGAATGTCTTCCAATCACTCTCCTCTGATTAAAACCTACCTATCCTGTGCCCTGTAGGCTTTTAAACCAACATTTATTCAGCATCTAAAGAGAATAGATTTGAAGGTAAACGTCTATGGTTTACCTTCTTTAAGCTACCTTAGGAAGCATTCACAACAATGACTGACAAGGTCATAAGTAAGTGTCATATAAGGCCGAGTGATGTCCTGTGAGAGCAGAAAAACAGAGAAGGTGATTTAATTCCAAGAACAATTTATTCTGCTAAAAGCCAATCTGATAAACTTATTTGAGCTGATAAACTTATTTGATGGCTGAAAAGCCAAGGTGAGGATGACATTTACATTTAACTAGTCTTTTTAGTTTTAATCTAAGGTACCAAATAAACTGATAATTAGGGCATTATACTGAAGGGAATTTTTGGTTAAGGGCAACCTGTCTAGAATTTCTTTAATCGAAGTTGGTGGCCACAGAGTTAGTGTTTCGTTTTGCTTTTTTTTTTTTTTTTTTTTTTAAATATAAGGCTAGTCTTTTTTTGCTTATATGTGAGTCCACGCTATCCTTAATTTCATTTCTTTGCCATTTCTTTTTGCTTCTGAGGCCTGTGGTTATGAGCTCAGAGTAGATGTTTAATGCATATGTGCTGTAATCACCTGAATTTGCCTAAATTTCTTACCGGTTGTTCTTATCAATTATTGTTCTCTGTTCGCTATGTCCTTTGTTCTCTGGCCTTTGTAAGGCTAAGATGCCTTAACATTTCCCTGAGCCTGACTACATTTCCAGACAGGCTTCTTCCTGACTCTAAGCCTCTGAGCTCCTTTTCTTAGAGCATTTACTTTAGAAAACTTTTCATCGTAAATTCTCTGTCTGCCCCTTTGAGAAGTAATCTCCTAGCCTCTCAACAGTTTTACATCCCAGAAATATCTTTCTTAAGGACCTGGGAACCAAACCTTTGAAATGTAATCATTGGAGCAGATCTCCCAGTCTCTGTGGAGGGTAGAAGCTTAACTTCCTAATTGGGACAACTGGCAAACACAACTGATCACCTTCCCCACGAATAATCTTTAGGACTTTAGCAGTAGCTCGCTACTAGCTCACTCTGGCATTTAAAAACCCTCCTGCCTTCCAGGGAGTTGAGTTCAATCTCCCTTCTCTCCTGTGATAGTCTTGACTGCATTGCAATAGTCTTGAATTAAGTCTTCCCTGCCTTAACACCTTCACATGCAATTTTTCTTTGGCATTTGTAATTTCCGAAACAAAAATCTCTTTGGCACTTTCTTTTGCTGTTTAAAAAATAATTATTTCTAGAAAATACTCAGCTGACCAGATTTACAATTTCCTCCTTCTTTTTTAGCTCCCTCACAGATTCTTGGAGGAACTCACTTTCCAAGGCCTGAGGTCAGTCTTCCCTGTTAATAGCTTCCTTGTCTTTTTTTGCAGTCCCTCAGAGAGAGTTGCTGGGGTAACCCATATTATTTTTCAACTATTTCACACATTCTCAGTGAGATCACCTTTCTCTTTTGTATGACTATCTATCGAAATCAATTCTTCCCTTTGAAATCAGCCAGTTGTCTTATCTGGCAGAATCTTGCTGTGGACATGTCCTACTTAGTGTTGATCTAAATATAATGCTCACGAAAGCATTGTTAAGGTCAGATATGTTTACCTGTTTTTGGCCAACATCTGAGTCTATTATTTAGCATACTCAAGGAAAAAAGATACACCTTTGTGTGGCTTGCTTAACAATTCTGATCACTAATTAGGAGAACTCATAAAATGATTTAAGGGGTGCCTGGGTGGCTCAGTCAGTGAAGCACCTGACTCTTGGTTTTGGCTCAGGTCATGCGTTGAGCTCTGCGCTGACAGTGAGGAGTCTGCTTGGCATTCTCTTTCTGCCCCCCTCTCTCTCTGTCCGTGCCCCACTCACACTGTCTCTCTCAAAATAAATAAATAAACTTAAAAAATTAAAAAAAAACGATTTAATAAAGTGCACGATGCAGGACAACCTTGAGAAGTTTCTATGAAAACATAAAGTTACAATTTGGGAACGAATGCAGTTTTCCTGTCTCTCTCACTTGAAAAACTTAGAGCTTTTCTGTTTCTGTGGCTGCAAAACTTATGTCCATCATCCTTTGATTCAGACAACTTTAACACGGAAGACATTTGTGACATATGTATTTGTGCCAGGAATTGCCCCAGGTAGAATTGCCCCAGGAGGAACTGTGACAGGGGACTTAAACTTACATGAGTATTTACAAAAGCATCAAATAAGCACATTTTTTAGAATTCTTGCAGTGTGTTGGCTGGTACATCTTTAATGTAACAAGGATATTCAAAGCTTTCCTCCAAGGCTTTACCGGTTCGTTATGTTAAATTTTAATATAGTTTTCTTTTTCTGACAAACCACTGGCCCATAATGTATGTGGCTCTTGACTTTCAGTCTAAGAATCTATGGTGTGGAAGGACACCTGTGTTGCTTTGCATTTTGTGTAGATGAGCAGCAATAATTAGGTTCCTTCCTCTGTTAGATTTGCATCAACAAAGGTCACAACTCCAGGTGACCGGCCATGCCAGAAGTGAATATACAGGACCAAATATGGCCTAGGAAATTGGAAGGTCATGGCTGCAATTCTCTCAGGCACTTCAGACGTGTCTCTGAAAGTGGAAAAAAGCAAGGAGCATGATTGAGATTTCTCACATCAATTTTAATTTTCTTTCCTTTTTGTTAGTTCTGATGCGGTCTCGGTGCCTCCAGATTATTGGGAAATGATAAAGGAAAATATGAATCTTATTATCTGGGACTTTCCTTTATCTGCTCCCGACCCTCATTCTTGCCAAATCAGTTCCAATCTTCAGTGGAAACCTAATTTTGTCTAGAGCCTTCTCAGAGAGAAAGGCTTACAACTCATGTCTGCTCATCCTTATTCCCTGTGCAGGGAAGGAGAGATAAAAAGACAATAAGGGAATTGTACTTTTTTCTTTATAAAATGTAATTTGAGGTGGGTGCCCCCACCATGTCAAGTTCTCTTTTTTCCAACATGGACATGTGCTATCATATTGCAGTTAAGACGTTCAATAATTCGTTTCACGAATTATATCTAGTGCCTACAATATGCCAGATGCTGTGATAATGAGGGGGCATGAACACAGACTTTAAAATTTTGTGGACTGTATTAATGCCAACACTAAATAGTGGTTATCACGTGTCTGTGTGTGGGTATACACACGTTTGGCTCAATGAAACTTTTTCCTTCATAGAAAACATACACTCCAATAATACATTATGATGATTCACTGACTAGCTGACCTCTTACCTGATAGGAAGCAAAAATGCCTAAATGTACATTTTATACAAAGAATTTAGGGTTTTAAGGACAAGCACAAATGCCATAAGGATTAAATGGTTATTTCCAGTCTTTCTGTGAGGATTCAATGGAAACTACGTGGTGTTCCTTAAAAATTCCATACTTACTCATCTCTGCAAACAGCTGTCTTCTTTCTGCCATGGTATTTCCTCTTTTCCCACTATCTTCAATCATTCTATGAGACAAAATGGTTATAATGTTATTACCCTCCTGCTAATGAGGCAAACAACCATTTCTATGTAAACACACTTGCTATAGTTATGCCACACACACAAACTATTTAAAACTGTGTATTTAAAAAGTATAGCTTTACTTTCACTAATTTAAATTGCCACGCATATTTTTCCATACGCGATGTTGTTGTAATTGTTGGAAGGGTATAAAATTTTTATTTGCTAACATAAAAATAACCACAATAGCAGATGACCTTGTGCAAAACTGAATACAACCATCTGCCATCTGTTAGGTGACTCATTTCACATATAGTTTCTCTTTCAGTTTTGGGAATCCCTACGAAGAATATAGAACATAGATATTATGGATTCCATTCGACAAATGATGAGATTGAGAGTCTCAAAGTGAATGGCGCAGACATTTGGACTCCAGACCACTTTGCCTTCCGCCATATTCTGCAGGAGGTTGTCCCCATGCACCTCAAATCTCAGTTTACAAGGAGGTCATTTTCCAAATATTGATCTCTCATTTGAGTGTTTGGAACCTGCAACAGTTTTTCTGTACGTAATAATTTCATGCGAGGTGGTTAGGTTCACATCTCTCTACTTAACCATACCACTGCCTGCAGTAACCATTTAAAAAGTACTAGGAAAATGCCAACAGTTAAGACACACAATAAAAAAATATTTAAAAATTAAAATTTGACTTGAGGAAAAAAAAGATAATGAGAAAAGTTAATGGAAATGTTGTTTAGCCCAATAGACTTTAGAGGACTTTGGGCTAAATAGTAAAGGTTTTATAGGTTGGTGGAGTTGATTTTTTATTATACTGAAACTTTTAAAAACTAAAGTTTCCTCTCTCATACACTCAATGAATATACACAGATACTAACATGTTTTGATTCTCAGGCATGGTAAACAGAAGGCACAGCTGATCTGTTTGCCTCCCTTTAATGGACCCTGCTCTTTCTCTGTCTATGCTATTTTTTGGTTTGGATTTCTCTCTCTCTGTGCCTAGCTAATCTGCAATAACCCATCAGCTCTTGGTTTAGGTGGGTCTTCCTCTGAAATTCTTCCTAACTCTCTATGATTGGCTGGGTTTGGTGCCTTTCTCTGAACCTCCACAGCCTGCTTGCTATCCCTTTTTTCTCAATGCTGAAAATTCACTTGATAAATCTTTATTGAGTGCCTTCTATACTTCAGGAATCACATTAAGTTCTGGGTATACAGTGATCAAGTCAGACAGAGTTCCTGTCCCTCAAGTGTTTATACTCTAGTGGGGGGCGGGGATACAAAAGCATAGAAGCAATGAAACCACAAAGAAGTAATTATAGGCATAGAAGTGGATAGATAGGTGAGTGTGAGAGCCACTGACTACCTGAGGGTAAATTTAACAGAACTAGGTTGTAGAAGATGGCTCAAAAGATAATGGGGCTGTGCACAAATAACTCACCCGAGGGTAAAAGAAAATATTAGTGGTGACAACCAAAGTGATGTCAGTCAAACTGGTCAAACAGCTCACCAGCTGTTTCTATGATGGAAGGGTTATTTGCCTACTGCCAGGAAGGGAAAGAAGGACATGGAACAGCCTTGGTTTACAGAGTTAAGGGAGGAGCGTGCTCCCATTCATGATGGGTGATGATGTAACCGGGGTCTGGCCTAAATAATAATTGGAAAAGAGTGGAGTTATTAATGAAGTGTCTTCAATTTGGTAAAAATTCACTGCTGAACACAGGTACTTTCTTTTTATGATTTTAAATATGCAAGTATGGTGGATATATAGAGATCTGGAGAAAGACACACCCTTCCTGATTCATATAACCCCATCTCCTTTACTCCAGAGGAAGTGGGTAGATAATAATCTTACACTCACAAAATAGTCTGGACACAGCTTCCAATCTTTATTTCAAGATCTTAGAAGCCGAACCGGAGCAATAGAGAGACAGGGGATAGAACCAACGATACGTTCCTGCATCTGTCTGTATGTTGAAATGAGATGAAAAGAACCTTTAAAAATAAATCACAAAGAATGGCAGGCTGGAAAGTTCTGATGGAAAATATGGGGGAAAGGAAGACTAGGCACCAAACTCACAGTGCTTACTTCCTGAATCCCGCCATTGGTACTGTTTGCGACATCTCTTTCCTAATTAGCTTTTTGTGTCTCTCTGTAAGGCCTTTGAAGGCAGTAACTTCAAAAAATTATAAATCCTTCACAGTGCTTAGCAAAATCCAACCAGTAAATGATAGGTCCAGTTAGTATTTTTGAAAAAAAAAAAAAAAAAAAAAAAAGAATGGAACAAAAATAAATAGAGGAAAAACAGTAAGAGCTAAGTTTGCTCTCCATGAAACAGACCTTCACCTATATTTCCCAAAAGCGACTCACAGAAGAGTTCAGTTCAGATTACACTGGTTTCAGAAATTACTTGAAATGAGAGAAATTAATTTACATCTATTAGGACCTAGGGCCATACATTTTAAAGCAAAATCTTATCTGAGGAAATAGAAGTTGCAAATAGATGTAGACTACACTGGTGTCACCTTTTGGTCTGTTCATCATCATTCTGTGATTAATTAACTCATAAAAGAACCATCATTAGTTACATAATAGGAATTAATTCTCACTTGGAAGTAAAATGCTTACCCTATGAGGACAAGAAGCAGAAACTCAGTAGTGTGAAATAACGGAAAGTGTGGAATATAATTAAAAATGTAAAAAGAAAGTAACATCTCTCAATTGACCCCTAAAGTTTCCTGGGAAGCAGCACCATTAGATCAAATTGAGAATACACGCTTCCTACCCATTGACCACAGTCATCACGGGAACAAGGGGAGGCCTGCTAGTTTATAGCTTACAGGGATGCCACAGAGGGACTTATGGACAGTCAGCTTATGAATCAAATAGGCAAGGACCACCACCGTGCTCCTTAGTTTCCAATTTAACTCCGATCAGTGGGCCTTGAGATCCACAATGCTTGACTTTAGAAAGAAAGAAAAGCAAAACTTGCAGTAGGGGCAAGAGGAGGTGTTTTTACAGAGAGCTATCTTGCTTCGGCAATTGTCAGGAAGCTCAGCTTTTCATGAATTTAGTGTATCAACAGCTGCCCAAAGTCATATGGAGGAGATGAAGGGGAAAAGAACCCATCTGTGACAATACTAATGTCACAAGGTGTGTGGCTCACCAACATGCCTAATTTGGTGAGTTTCTGTTACTCCTTCATGTAGACAAGATGCTTGCAACCTTAGAATTTACCAGATTACATAAATGTCAAAACAGCAAAAGGAACTAACAGGTGATGAATAAGTGATGAGCCCCATTAAGACATTTCCTTTACTAAGGTTCAGTCCCATGAATTATACAGAGTATGTGTTGTTTTCACTTCTGAGAAGCTATCCATTTCATTTACTTAAGAAATATTTATAAGGTAGCTATAATTTGTCAGATACTCTGCTCGTTTCTCAAGATCCAAAGATGAATAAGACATGATCCTCGCTTTTTTTTTTTTTAATTTTTTTTCAACGTTTTTTATTTATTTTTGGGACAGAGAGAGACAGAACATGAACGGGGGAGGGGCAGAGAGAGAGGGAGACACAGAATCGGAAACAGGCTCCAGGCTCCGAGCCATCAGCCCAGAGCCCGACGCGGGGCTCGAACACACGGACCGCGAGATCGTGACCTGGCTGAAGTCGGACGCTTAACCGACTGCGCCACCCAGGCGCCCCTGATCCTCGCTTTTAAGAAGCTCACAGTTTAGAGGGAGAAACATTATTCCAAATGATAATTGTAATTTGGTGTCATATGTAAAATAATGAAAATATGTATTACTAAATATAGTAGTTTATTTCTGGGAAATCTGAAGGAAGCATCCAAGGGTGACTCTGGAACAGAGTTTTAAAGGAAAATCAAGAAGTTTCCAGATAGAAATAAGTGGAGAAAGGGTAATCAGAGTCAGAGGCAATCAGGGGGAAAAAAAAACCACGGAGCTCTAACAAGAGTACAGTGTGTGAGAACTGGGAAGAATTCAGTATTGGTGAGTGCAAGTGTGAGGAGAGACGCCAGAATGGGCATCAGATTAGAAGGTCTATTCTTCATGTCTAGACAGAGCAGGGCTTTCCTGTAGAAGACTGGATGCTACCCAAGGTTAAGTAGGGAACTGATGTGTACACATTTAGATTGTGGCAAGATGACTCCAGCGTACCGAGCGGAGGAAAGATCAGTTAGGTAGGGGGGCTAAGAATGGGAGCGCACGATTAAGGGAAGAGTCCAGTTCACGGGATGCTTGCGTGATTCGGGAGCAAGGATATGACGTCTTCCGCTCAAGGACTGATTTGAGCGTCAGGGCAGATGCAATGGGGCTTAGTGATTTGCAGTCCACATGAAGAACAGTGGAGGACAGGAGCTCAGCCTTTGCTCCCCCACCCCACTTCACACATTCGAGGAAACAATCTGCAACAGCAATGACTTCACAGAAAGGGAGTTCGCCAACTCACCCTCTTCCAGCATTGCCAACAAAAGGGGGCTGCAAAACCAGACAGGGAGGGCTCCGGCTCTCTGCCCCTCTTTCTGGGGGAGGGATGAAATAACAGTAGAAGAGGTGGGAGCCAGCAAGAAGCAAAGAATAAATCACAATACAGGGCACGGTGTTAGAAGACACGTGAGTTACATCTTGGCATCGTGGGAATAAGTTCACATTGAAGTATCACATCCTTGGGTTGCTTCCTTCATGACACTTCTTTAATCCAACATCGCCCATACCAAACACACTATTACACATGACAGAAGTTTCAAATGTAAAATCTTAAACTGGTGGTGTCTTACATTTGTATAACTTTCTAAAGATTATAAAATGTTTCTCCCTATAACCTTGTGCGGAGCTTGGGGATATATTATTATTCCCAAGTTACAGCTGAAGAACTTGAGACCCAGGCAGGTAAAAAGTGGTTTTTTTTTTTCTGGCAGGGGAAGAAAACTAATCCATTTTTTTCTTGCTTTTAAGTTTTAAAT